TAAATTTATCAAGAATCGTGTTTCATTGCGTTAGCGAAGTAATTAGTTGGGTGAGACGCACGCGAATGAAGTCTGCGCGGGCTGCAGGGTCTTCGACTAGTCCAATTCATATGGTCAAATCGAATCGAACTGATTAGATAAAATCTAACTATGGCCTATGGGCTACGGCTAAATACACATTATAAATATTTGCTATAAAGATAAACTGCGAGGTTATTAAATTCCAAAGCAAACCGAATGATATCGTCGCCCCTGTTATTCATTCCATCTACGTCTGTTCAGCGAGCAGGAGCAGCATGAGTCGGTTCTTGATAATAGTTTGCTTAATCCTTTTGCTGTCACTTGATATCAGTGCAGCGCCTGCACCTGCACTTGCACCTGTACCTGCAGCTCGCACAGAAGTCGACCCGGAGTTGACAGCTGGCTTTAGTGAAGGTGATATGATTATCAGTGCAGAGCAGCGAAATGGACTGCGCTCAGATAACTATCGCTGGCCCAATCGGACTGTCTACTATTACATTAACAGCAACATCGGTAGGTGGCGCTTTATCGTGCGATAATTGAGTAATAATAAATCAACATCATAACTCAGATCAGCCACATCGCGAGCAAATTCTAGTGGGCTTGCGAAAAATCGAGGCAAGTTCCTGCCTGACCTTCCAGGAAGTCGCCAAGGACCAGAAATACTACGTGAATATAACATCGGAGCCGGGCGGCTGCTTTACAGCTGTTGGCTTCCAAAATCATGTGCAGCAAATGAATCTGCAGAATTATCCACTGGACGAGGGTTGCTATCGCATGGGCACCATAATGCACGAAATGCTGCATGCTCTGGGCTTCTATCATGAGCAGAGCTCGGCGGATCGTGATGAATACGTTCGCATCGCCTACGAAAATATTGAGAAAGGCAAGGAGCAGAATTTCGACAAATTCGACAACGATAAAGTCGATAATTTCGATCAGGAGTACGACTATGGTAGCGTGCTGCACTACTCGCCATACGGCTTCTCCAAGAACGGCGAAATGACAATTGTCCCCTTCAAAGAGGGCGCCGAGAAGCAAATGGGTCAGCGACTGCAAATGAGCCAGCGGGATATCAATAAATTGAACATCATGTACAAATGCCCCCAGCAAGTGTAGTGCTATATAGTATAAAGATCATATATTGTGATGTATAATCCATTAGCTGTAATTCCTAGCAACTAAACAATTCTGAAAACAGGTGGGTCTCTGTTTCGTGAAGACTCCTAAAAGAATGCAACTGCAGTAGAGCAAAAAAAAAAAACAAGTAAGAAAGCTCTAGTCGAGACTGCTCGACTACGAGATCCCCTGAACCCTTGGAGTGCTAGCTATTTCAATAATTTTTCGCGTCTTTCAGCTTACACAAGAAACACACACACATACACAAACACATACACACACATACACAAACACATACACACAC